CACATGGGCACTCTCATCATTATCAGATCCAAAATTACTAACACTCTCATGAATACTGTTTTTGATCTCCTTCTCTCCACCTTCAACGGCATATACTCTACCTTTATCACTTCTACAGGCAGGAGCAATATGTCCAATACGTTGACAATTGTAACATTTTGAATTCTTGAACTTACACTGAAAGCTTTCATGTTTCCCTCGCCACCTCTTACATTTTAAATCAGCATTTGTTCCTTGTTTTGTGGTATAATTATTCCTTTTAGCTACAGTTAGTTTACACACTGAGCCACTACTGCCAACTGTTTCACTACCAGCATTGGGAACAAATTCTCTGGTGTTTTTCTCGGCCAATTCCATGCTTGTAGCTATCTGACATGCACTTTCAAAAGTTAAGTTAGTGGTGTTCATTAACTTATTCTGTATTTTTTCATAATTCAGGCCTATTACAAACCTGTCTCTTAGAGCTCGGTTCAAGAACTGTCCAAAGTACAGTGAATGGATAACTTCTTCAAAACTACTATATAATTACTTACTGATTCATCTTTACCTCCATCTCTGGTGCCAAATCTGTACCTTTCAGCGATCTCAAGTGGAGCAGGATCAAAACGTTGCTTCAGAATCTTGGTAATCTGAATCAGTGAGGAGTCCTTGGGTTTGTCTGGAGTAAGCAGATTGACCAGAGTAGAATAAACATTAGCTCCTACCTCTGTCAAAAAGATTGCCTTCCTTTTCTCTTCAAGGGCCTTTCTCTTCTGAGCATCACCACCGTCGTCCATTAATTCATTTGCCAGAAAGAAGACATCCATTCTCTCACAATATGATGTGAAATCTTCCTTGTCTGCATCATACTCCCCCAATTGTCCGATGTATCCACTGACGTCAGCCATGGTTGCTCTCTTCACTTAAATTCTCCAGGTTCAGAGTAGCCTTCCCTTCAGTGGTCACTATCCTCTCTTCAAGGACTTCACCAACACTTTGTGAATCCCATCCTCGTCGCCAGTGTAGTATCTTGCGTTATTTAATGGGAGAATGACAAGTCGCATGGTCGGTCTGTCTGGGGCGTTTATTTTCTCAGGTGTTGGTTACAACGTGCCTTACACATTTCGTGTTTACACAAGCCTAAACACTTTCTGACTTTGGTAAGAAGTAACATAACATATAATGTATATATAATCAATAAAGGCAGCATATAAACATACATATATATAACACACCACACTTTACAAAAGCAATCAAATGATTGCAGTAAGATGGACTGAGCACTTCAGCACACTTCTAAATCAAATTAATCCAATAACACCTACAGTACTGGATAACATCCCACCCATGCCGACCCTGCAACTCCTGGATGAAGCCCCACTCCTACAAGAAGTGGAAACTGCAATACAAGCGCTCAGCAACAAGAGCGCTGGACCTGACGGAATTCCTGCTGAAATCTACAAACATGAAGGTCCCCATCTGACTGAGCACCTCCATAGCCTCTTACTCATCATATGGGTCACAGAGACCAGCCCCCAGGATTGGAAAGATACAAATATCATAACAATCTATAAGAATAAAGGTGACAAAGCAATCTGTGGTAACAGCAGGGGCATCTCCCTCCTTGTAGTTGCTGGCAAAATCCTGTTAAAAATCATGTTTTCAAGACTTTTCCAACACCTAACGGAGAAAACTCTTCCTGAATCCCAATGTGGATTCAGGAAGGATCGCAACAAGGCAAATTCAAGAAAAGTCGACAGCAAAATATAGGCCTTTACACCACCTTCATTGACCTCTCCAAACCTTTTGACTCAGTAAACAGAGAACTTTTGTGGACTATGGTGGAGAGGGTCGGTGTACCACCAAGATTTTTAAACATCCTCCGCCAAATGCATGATGGAATGCAAGCCCGGGTACTTGTAGGTGGTGTGCAGCCAGAGCCATTTAGTGTCCAAATGGGCGTAAAACAGGGCTGTGTGCTGGCACCTGTGTTGTTTAACATCTTTTTGCTGGCTGTACGGTAGCACAACTCTCACACAATGCCCTTGGGCCAGATGCAGGTGTGGGCATACGATACCGTCTTGACGGTTGCCTTTTTAATATTAGACGTCTGGAAGCCTACACAAAGACCTTAACAACTCAGGTCATAGAACTACAGTATGCAGATGACTGTGCAATAATGACACATAACAGAGAATCTATGCAACATGCACTGCAGGGCCGGATTCAGGAGTGGGCAAAGTGTGCAGCTGCCCAAGGGCCTCCGCAATCTGGGGCCTCTACATATTACAATATTTTATTTATTTGTTTATTCATTTGGATTATATTTATTTTCATTCTTTAAAATTCATGTTTATCTATTCCATCACGTAAAACTATGTTCAGCAAGAAGCGTGATAGAAATTAGGCTAGCTACTCCTTGAAATTCATGAATACCTGGATTTTCCTATGAAATATATATTTTTAATGAATGCTAATGTTTGTGTTGCTAATAACATATTTAGAATTCCACAAACATATATTGATTAAAAATGAACTACATGGAATAACGAAATTGAGATTAAAAAAAAAAACAAATAAAATATTTTTTTCATTATCACTTCCATTACGAATGCCATCAGGGCGCTGTGTTTGTTGACAGTCGGTCGGAGGGGGTTGGGTCGTGTAGTATCTGCACATCGGTTGTCATGTGTCTGTCGATTAAAGAGAAGACTCGGGTCGCCCATGATTCATGAACTTCCCACGAGTAGACATAAACATGTCTTGCAGATGTAAAATGAGAGAGAGAATTGTCATGTGTGCTTGTTGAGTGAAGTCGTCGCCGCTCAGTGATGAATGATCTTGTCAGTTGTCATTTCCTACAACATGTTTTGCAAATGTACAGTGAGAGTGCGAGTGAGAGAGAGTCGATTGATGCTTGTGCTTGAGTGTGGGTGGGTGTGCTCTTAGAATATACGTTCACATATATAATTGTGCTTTAAGATACTACAGGTCGATTGGCTGCAAGTAAGTTGAGTTATTCTGTCAGTTCCACGATCAGTATATACAGTATACAGTATACAGTATACAGTATACAGTATACAGTATACAGTATATACAGTATAGTCAATGGTGAAAAGGAGGCGAACCGACGGCGAGCTTTAGGGGTGGGACTGGGAGAAGTCAGAGGGAGAGGTCATAATCTTACCCAAAATTCCAAATTTTAAAAATATGCTTGTGTCCAAATGTTCCAGGGAGTTTATTAATCAATTAACCTCTCCATAAAGTAGCAAAAAGCAAACGGTCAATTTGTGTTACGTTTTTAATTATAAAAAAAATTAGATGTCCGTCTTTGTTGACAGAAAATTAATGTTGCAGAAATGAGTGGAATGGACAGACACAAAGGTGTACGACGTTTCGAAAGTGGTGCTGCAAAGAGAAAGACATCTAAAGAACGTGCTGAGAGAAAAGCTAAAGAATTTACAAAAACACGTCGACTGACTGAAGTCTTCACTCGTCCATCAGCTTCAGAACATCTAGTCAGTGTTTCTGCAAGCTTATCTTCAAGGCAACTAGAACAAGTACCTGCATGTGATGAATCAGCTTCCTCTTTATATGGCAGCTCTAGCCTATCTACAGGGGGAAATGACCAGACTGCCGAGGAGATTGAAATTGACTCAAAGCATGTGCCTCCTGAAGTGCAAATGGCAACTACACAAAATTATGACATTGACATTAGCTTATGGTCAGAACATTTGACAAAACAATTGATTGATTATTGGGCTGCGAACGGTTCTGAGAGACTCCACCACAGTGGTGCTAAATTTTTGGATGCAAAATCAGCAGTACAAAAAAATGCAAACAATGTCAGTCGCAAATGCACACCAGCCATGTTTGAGCAAAGGAATCGAAATAGGGAAGTTGTAAAGCGTTCTTGGCTTTGTTTCTCCCACGCAAATGGGCGGGTCTACTGCTTCTTTTGCAAGCTAATGGGTGTTTCAGGATCTCAATTCACATCTGATGGGTTCTGCGACTGGAAGCATGCTAATAGTCTTGTTGTCCATGAGCAATCAAAGGACCACATTCAAGCAGTTTTGTCAGCAGCAAGTCGTGCAAAAGGAACTGGAGGTATAGATTCTTTTGGCCGAGTATGATGATTTCCTCAGGCAACACATCCAGAGTCATGCTAATCGTGGCACTGGTCATACAAACTATTTGTCTTCAACCATCTGTGAAGAAATTGTCAGACTCATGGGCAATGAAGTACTGAACGAAATTATCTCACATATAAAGCTCTCAAAATATTACTCAATTTCTCTAGATTCCACCCCTGATGAAGGCCATATTGATGAACTAACTCTGATATTCAGATACATGGAGCATGACACACCTGTTGAGAGATTTGTGAAATTCTTGCCAAATCAAGGACATAAGGCTCAAGAAATGTTTGAAGGTTTGATGAAGTTTCCTGCAGAAAATGATATTGACATTCAAAATTGTCGTGGGTAATCTTATGATAATGAAACGTCTATGAGTGGGAAGTCTGCAAGCCAAAGTTGTAGCTGAAAATCATCATGCAATTTGGATACCCTGTGCTGGTCATTCATTAAACTTGGCTGGAAAAGCTGCAGCTGAATGTTGTCAAGAAGCTATCTCATTTTTTTTATTTTCTTGAGGCAATTTATGTGTTCTTCACAGCTTCTACACATCGATATGCAATTCTTAGTGATTTATTGAAAACTGTAGCGTCTGGCCCGGTATCTGTGCCAAAGAGGATTTCCACAACAAGATGGTCCTGTCGAGCAGTTGCAGTGAAAGTAGTTGTCCAAGGCTATCTCCCAATCCGTGAAGCACTTGCTAAAATAGCTAGAGATGAAAATGAGACAAGCAAAACATGTTATGAAGCCAATGGTCTCCATGATAAGATGTGCAAATTAGAGACTGCTATTTATGCTGTGTTTTGGCATAACATTCTTGGCAGAGTTGATGCAACAAGCCATGCATTGTAAGATCCTAAACTCGATTTGAACACAGCAGTAGCA